TTTCATTCTTTTAATAGCTGCTGTTAATTCCGAATAAGAAATTTTCTCTTCAAGGGTATCCCTTGTTTTATTTGTTAACTTTGGAACATCTAAATATGGAATTTCCTTATTGAGTTCAACGTTTTCTATTGGATCATTTTTTAAAATATAAATCCTTATAGAAGTTTTTGGCTTCCATTAAAATCTGTTCATGTTTGTTTATACAAAGACCTTCATTCTTGACCAGTCTTGGAATTGTCTTATTAACAAAATTCTTAGTTTCTGAATTGAGGAAATATTTGTAGGATCTTTCTCCTTTTTCTTCCCATTTCATTTTTTAAAGCACACAATTACCACGCAATTTTCCTTGTCTTTATATTTGTAATACAGATTTATTTTGGTTCAGATTTTTAAGAGTTTCTGTGGTTTGTATAAATTCTTCCAATTTTTGAATTTCATTTACCACAGCATTTTACAATTTATTTTTTTCTTTCTTTTTATTTGATGCAAAGGAAATTGTTTTACCCTTAATTTCGGTTATTAATGTTTCTAAGAACAGTTGATCATTTATTGTGAATTGAATATCTAAGCAATCCACCAAATCTAGTGTGTCCCTATTGTATACTACAGTTGCATATTGATCCTTAACTTATTTTATTTTTTCTTTGACAGTTTCAATAAATTCTATATCATACAGTAAACTATTATTAAATTTCCATAAACCCTTCCCAATATTGAAATCACTTATTTTAAAGTGTAAAACTATTGGTGAATGATCAGATCTATAGCTGTTTTGAGTTTCTACTTCTTTTACATTTTGATAGAAACTCCGAGATACAAGAAAAATCAAGCCTAGCTTGCTTCAGAGGATCAATTTCTCTCCACGTATATCGTTTCTTATCTGGGTAGAATTCTCAAAAGAGATCGATTAGATCATAGGTTTCAATAAGTTCAAAGACCTTTTCTCTTGCTCGTGGATTATTTATATTTAGATATTTGCAAGTAACTAATGTCTGATTTTGGACTAAGTTAAAATCCCAAGTCAGAATAACTTGTTGGTAGTTAAAATTTTCTATTATTTCATTGACTTTATTATAGAAGGTGAGTCATTATTTGGTCCATATAAATTAACAAGTGTTATATTTTTACCTTCAATTGTAATGTCAACATCCAGGAAATTTCCATTTTCATCTTTCTTTATTTTCTTTATTTTATATTCAAGATTGTTTGCAAATAAAATGGCAACTCCTCTTTGATTGGAGGATTCATCTATTTCAGTAAAGTTCGTGTCTTGCAGGCAGTTAATATGACAGAGTTTTGATTTCAAGTATTCGAACACATCTCTCCGTTTCTCTCTAGAATTTAAACCTTGACAGTTGTGTAAGAAAATTTTTAATGTATCCTTAGTCATTTAAATAGCTAAGATATATAATAAACATTCCATTTATTAATTTCATTCCTATGATTACACTTTGACTCATACAACTGTCTATGAAAACACAAAGCTATAATATTGTATCTGTATAAGCAATATGATGTAGAAGTCTACCTTCATGCATAAATAAACCTCGGTAAAACACTGTGCAAAATTAAAAATTGTAAGAGATAAAAAAAAAAAGTAAAAGTAACAAAAGTCATGATTGTCATATTATGATATGTTTTCTTTTTTGTACAACTAAAAACAAATTTTGGATAACCTGTTTCCAAAGAAAAGGGTTAGGGGGAAAAACCCAACAAAGTTATACTCACTAAACTTAATATCCAACACTCAAAGGGAGATAATCCAAATCCAAACATATCATCTCCCCTGAATTGTAAGTTTGCAGAACATTTGTTTAGTTAGTATAGCGATTGTACATATGATTAATGTACCCTTCTAGGTAGTATATTGAAACGCTGCCTCCCTGGTGCTAGAGTCGGCCACCAGAGAACACAGGGTCACAAAGAAAAAGAGAGTAAAATTATCCATAAAGTGTAAGGTTCGACGTCCACTGTTTACCGTCGGAACAAAACACGTTATAGAAAGGGAAATCGTATATTTGTGTTTATATATATATTCTTAGTTGTGAAATAAAATATCTGAATAAAATAAAGTTTCATATTTTATTAATATCAAAAATAATCCACGACGGAGAGAATGGGTCTTGCCGGCTCTCTCACTGGTCTGGCCAGATCCCCGGTAATGGTTGGTCTTACATATACAAACAAAACTAGTCTATTATTCAACAGTCAAGTAACAAGGTTGTCACTTATTTAGAATCTTTCTATAATCTCAATTTAAGGATATTACCACCCTACTACTTTATAGAAGACAACAACTTAGTATAATAAATTAAATGACATATTAATCATGTCGGAACCGCCAACAGAACACTTAATGTGCACCTTCAATATCACTTCAATAGCACCGTTACTGCACAGTCACCGTCACAGGTATCGGCAACCGTATTTAGCACCGTCACCGTCACCGGCAACCTTATTTAGCACCGTCACCGTCACTGGCAACCGTATTTAGCACCGTCACCGTCACCCGTATTTAGCACCGTCACCGGCACCGACAATCTTAAATTAAAACAAAGTTAACTTTCAACGCTTGTATGTATTTCTCAGACATATTCCAGCTTCTATTAAAGTTTGTAACTTCCCATTCTTTGTCAACCCAACACTCTCTCGAATCTGTTGTTGCTTTTTCTTTTATACTTCCGACTGACCAATGGCAGAGCTTGTTACATATTGTTTACCAATCGGCAACCATGGATCACACAAGGGAAATTCCCGTAATGTTGATATTATTTGTAAACATGGATTGATCTTCATCAATAAAGATGGGTTTCGACTTAAAATTTATCAGTAGATCATAAGAAGAGTTTTATTTGAGTTTATATTCTAATAAGGTAACTACCGCGAAAATATGAAATCAGTACGTGAAATAAAACTTCCTAACATACACAAATCAGTCGTATCCTTGAAACAACAGCCAAAATAACAAATTACAAGTCTTTTATTATTTTCAACATTGGACATCTCACTAACATCTATCGTTTATCCTCAATAATTTCAAGAAACTATACAGACATAGATTTACAATAAAAAGGGGGGAAGGTCGGCATTACAATATATTGAAACTTATAGAATGTGAGAGTTTTGGTTTGTTAAATATTTTGCAATCCAATTTGTCATACTGAGGTTCTTTCAGTGTTTATTCTTATCACTTTTCTTATTTTTATTGTACAAATAAACAGGACAAACACAAGTTTACTATATATTTTCTCCCTTTCTATATAGATATAGATATTTATTGAAATCTTGATATCTTTTCCTTTTTGTTTAGAGTGCTCCGTTACCCTTACACTTTATTACATTTCCGAAAATTGCAGGATATAAACCATATTTTTGCAAAGTATTAAAACATTCTATCACTTTTAATTTAATTTACAGTAATTAAGATATGTTTACGCTGCACGATCGGAAGAGGGGGTATTTTTACGAAAATAAATGTTGACAATAAGTAAGTGGAAAGCATTTTGTTTGTCATAGATTTTAGCTTGAGGTCGTCAGTCGGTGTCATTTCAAGGAAAAGGAAAAAATCGGTAAAACGGCTGACGATTTAAAATATTTAAATGATTGGATGTATACATCAATGGTAACTAAAACTATCCAACGGTAGTGAAAGGTAAGACTTTAAAACTGTATCCAGCATTAAATCAACGTCAAATATATATAGACTCATTACAGATACCATGATTAAAATTTTGTACGCCAGTCTACAAAAGACTAATCGGTTTGATGTGTTTGAGCTTTTGATTTTGTCATTTGATTAAGGACTTTCCGTTTTGAATTTTCATTGGAGTTTGGTATTTTTGTTATTTTTGTTTTTGCATTGCAGGAGACGCTTAACCTGCCGAACCACCCTGTCTCATTCCATTTAGAGTTCATGAGATTTCCTAAATTTTTGTTAGTTAGCTTGATTTGTTATCTGAATCGAATTATGACATTCAAACCTCGGTAAACTACTGTTACCTTTATTTAAGCGAATAGTTTATAATGCCTTTGAGCTATTCAAGTCATCATCATAAATAGAAAATAAACTAAGCATTTTGTACAATATAAAGTTTACGAGTAGGTATAAATTTATTAACATGCATTGTAAAATATCAGTTGCAACTCAAATATTAAGGTGTTTTGTCGAGATACCTGAGTGAGCAAAAAATGCCTGATAGCCAATTTAGAGCAATATCAGTTAATTCCATTTGCATATACGATTTTACCAGTTTGTTTTATTGAAATGAGTTACTCTTTTAATTTTTGTACGTAGCATAAACCTTATTTGTGTATCATCCTATTTTATTAAATTCTAGATTAATATCTTTAATAAGTTTGTGTAGTAGATCAATTTTATAACCCAATAGGCAAATGTTTATAGGTTTTTTCCAAAATTGATATTTTGATTGTTATGGGAACATTGTAAGAACTCTCACAGCTACTTTTCTTGTCGGATCTTTATGAAATTCATCATAATTATATCAAATACTTATACCACAAAGGTCTTGGAAGAGTTGGACCAACTGTTTTTACATGTGATTTGTCCCTTGGATATAAAAATTATACGAATAATAACATTGTTAGCAATCTCATGTCTAATTTCCTGTAGGATATTTAAAAAAAAATAAATAAAAGAACACTCCATTTTTTTAGAGTGATTAAACGATGACACACACAATATTTGCATCGGCTGGGTCATTGAAACGCTGTTCTTTTAGTTTAAAAAAAATGTATTCAGATAAATCATCATGTACCATTTTAATACACTTGAAATAAATATCTAGGATTTGGAAACAAGCAAAGTTGCTTTACAAATCTTTCTCCAATTACACAAATAAAACACTTATTGAGGAAAACATGGATATAAATATAGGCATGCTCTGCAATAAATCATATAAATGGTTTTTTTTTAGATTATTGTTTGTTAAATGCATATTATTCTAATATTAAATGTCATTTATACATTAACAGACTCAAGGATTTTGAACAGAAATTGAAAGCTATAGAATCAGAAAAAGATGATGCTTTAAAAAGGTATGTTACTAATGATTTAGAACGAATATTGCTAATGAGTTGACCGACAGACTGGTCGTATTGGTGTACTTTTTCGTAATGAATAATTAAAAAGCTATAATATAGAGTCTATTTCAGTTGTTCATCCGCATAAATCCGTTGGCGCAGGTATTGTGTCAGGTCGACAGCCCTGTTTAGGTAATCCGTATGGTGTGTACATGCACGAGGGTTACGTATTAAGGTAGATCAGGTGTCTTTTGTCATCTTCTTTTGTACCTAAAAACCATCTGTGTAGATCTTCTATTGACAATTTTGAGACCTGAATAATTCGTTTGAAAATCTTTAATCAAATGAAGAAAACTAAGTGATTTCTTTAACATTTTCTGTTATTACGACTGTTTAAACAAATATTGAATATTTTTTGTTCCATCAAAAAATATTGACTGACCCATATAGAGCGAGTAAATCGGAAAAATCTAATTATATAAAAGAACATATTAAAAATTTACCTATTTTGTTTTGCAGAAAGAAAACGAGTACGATGACGCATATTTTGAGGTCTTTCCACTTTCATGGAAATACCTTTTGATTTTATTCTGATTATATTTTTTTTATTTTGAGATTTTCTTTTGTTTTGCAAGATATCGAAAAGATTTTGGGTACATGATATCGAACAATGAATATGCTTTCGCAGTTGACTTTGTTTAACCGTACACTTTCTCCTGTGAGAGTTATCTCTCTATACACTGTTTTTCTTGTTATAAAAGAAAATCGACGAATTTATTTTCCAAATTGCTCGTCATATCCTCCGGTTGTTTTGTTAAATTTTGTCCTAAGCTATGAGAGTTAATTCTCCTTCTGTATTTGACATAGTGATATATAAATGTAACTCATGAACAGTAAGTTATAGGACCTAGGGTATTGGACCTTGATGTCTTTGGCCCACCAAAAGAAATTTGAGATACAGGTCAAAGTTCAAGGTCATGATTTAAATTCTAACTTTTGATTGTTTTCGCTTTCTCACAAACCGTGATAAATAATGACTAAAATGTTTACCAAATTGTTCGTTGATACATGTCGTAACTTTAAAATTTTGGTCGAAAGAGTACTCCCTTTTAATAGGAGTTTCCCCCCATGATAGTTTAAAGTAAGTTGTATGAAATATAACCCTGAACCATACATAATAGAGACCTAGGGTATACTTATTTGAGATCCTCCTTTTATTGCATTGAAATTGAGGTTAAAGTCAAATGAGAATTTGACGTTCTAGATTTTGACCTTTGCTATAATTTCATACTCGTACATGATAAAGCCATAGTATTTTTTGCATTAGGTTCGGAGACTTTTTACCTTAAAAAATTTCAACCGGAAGTGAACTTGAGTCAACCGGAAATAAAAATGTTTGCACTTCTTTTATGGAAAAGTACCTAGAAACCATATATTTTTATCATCGGTATGCATTGAGACCGGACGTGACCTTCTGTAAAGTAGCAAATTACCCCCCTTATATTTTCGGAATCAGTATAAAAAAACCTGTGATTTGACGCCAGTAGAAAATTTGAGTAAAACGGAAGTGACCTCTTATCAATGATTTTGAAATTCAATGGTGGAAATACCTTCAATTGTTTTTTTACTTTTTTTTTCTTCTTCCGCCAAATTTTATTCTTGCAGTGTATAATGGTTGCGCAAGATGTCTCTTAGATGTTTTAGATATTATATCGAACAGTTATTACGCTTTTGAAACTCAACCTGTTTAGACGAAGACTTTTTATTGTAAGAGATATCTCCACAAAAACTGTTTTTTCTTTCCGGTATCTCCTCTGTAACAAAAAAAAAATAACGACAAATTCTTTTTTATATTAAATCCTGAGGAATTTTGACTAATTTGGATTGAAACGATCAAGTGACATCATAAAAGGAGTTAGCTCCCTTTACCAAATGAAATTGTCGTTATGTTTTTGTATTCATAAACCGTAAGCCGTATAAACCTAGTCTTTTTCTTTGAAGTGTTTTGGTCCTAACTTAGAACAGAATTGAAGTGTTTTGGTCCTAACTTAGAAATTGAGGTCGAGTTCAAATGTCAAGGTCATGTTCTCAATTTTGACTTTTGCTCGGTTTTGCATTTGCTCTGATACTTTTAAAGATATATATGAAAGAAGTAGTGCAAAATGTTTGCTTTATTGTGACGAAGATATGATACATTTGGTCGAATGACATATTTTAGGAGTTTATGCCCCTAAATGTTTTTAATTGAAAGTTAATTAATAATTATTACTTCAACTTGGTACACGATAAAGACTTAGGGTCCCTTGCAAAATTATGGGTGACATAGGACCTTGAGAAATGTCAACCGAAAGTGACCTTGAGTGAAAAATTTGTGTATTCATGGAAAAGAACCCAGAAACCCTATATTTTTAATAGACATACATAAACCTATCATTTGAGATCGAAAGTGACATTCAATAAACCGGAAGTGGGTAATTATCTCCCTGATTACCGGTAAAAGCATATAGAGACCATATATTTTTCGAATCAGTGAAAATACAGCTTTCATATGAGACCGAACGGCATATGATATTTTCTAAAAAAAAGTTGGAAATATCTCCCTTATTTCTGGCAAAAAATTATAAAAACCATTTATTTTTGGAATCAGTGAGAATAAAACTATCATATAAGACCGGAAGTGACCTTATATAAACCGGTAGTTGAAAATTATCTGCCATATTTCAGACAAAATCATATAGAAACCATATAGTTTTCGAATGACTATGAAGAAACCTATGGTTGGACGCCAATAGTAACTTTGAGTAAACCAGAAGTAGCTTCTTTTCAATTATTTAGAAATTTAATGTGGAAAGACCTTCAATTGTTCCATGCACAATTGATTTAAATTCTTTTTATTTTCTGAAAGCACATTATAAAAGCTATGTTTTCGTATCTTATTTGAAAATTCTCAGACTATCAACTAATTTTCTTTCTATTCAAATAACAGTTTGTTCACAATATGTAGCTTAAAAAGTGCTTTGTGACCTTTACGTTTTAATATATTTCTGAAAATTACACATATAAACAATATATTGGCAATGAATTAAAACATTCTATCGGTTTTAATTCATACCAACGTCTACATTAATTAAGATATTTAAGCATTTAAACGCCATACTATGAAAAGAGAATGTGTTAATGTTGCAAAAATGGGATGTTTACAGACGGATATGTTCCAATTGTCAGAATCACAAACCCATCCTCCATTCCTCGAATGTGACCTATCCAATTAAACTTATCACCGGGTTTGTACTTACACTTACAACACGACGGGTGCCATATGTGGAGCAAGATCAGCTTACCCTTTCGTGCACATGAGATCATCCTCAGGGTTCGGATTGGTTCGTGTTGCTACAGTCTGTGGTTTTCTATGACGTGTTTTGTGTACTGCTGTTTGCCTTTTGGTCGTTTTTGGTTTTTAGCCATGATTTGTTTGTTTGTTTTCGACTTATGAGTTTGAATATCCCTTTGGTATCTTTCACCTTTTTTTTTATTTATAGACAGTTGAATTTAACATGTTTGTCCTATATCCTAGTTTTAAGTCGTCGCTCTGTGTCTTGTCGTGGAAAGGATAGAGAAAAACGGATGATTATTCAAAATATCTAATTGCTATGATGCATATATCGTTGTTGACTAAAAAACTATCTAACGATAATGACAAGCTAAGACTTTACAAACTATTTCTAGCATTAAATCAACGCTAAATATATATTCGATGATTGTTCGTGGTAACATTCCACCTGATCATTTAAAAAAAGCATTATGCCAGTCTAAAATTTTATATTCATTACTTGTTTACTTATTTAGACTCGGTGCTGTTTTTCAGTATAGTTGCTTTTCAATTGGTAAATGCCGTATGTAACATCAACAAGTCTATTTTGTTAAAATTTAGTTGTTTCATTGGTGTCTAATTATTGTTTTTACACATCATTTTCTTTTTCATATATATATATTGAAAATTTGAAGTTTGTCCTGATATAAACTAAGAACATGCTTCTTATGCATTGTGTTTTTTGTAGAATGAAAAAATTTGAGGCTAAACTGAATTCGACAGAGAAAGAAAAGAATTCAGCTTTACAAAGGTAATTTACTAAGTCATTTGAAATATAGATGAGTAACACATGTTGTCTAAACACATGCTATTGTGTAGTCAAACTTATAAATACAGGGATTACGAAATGCAAATACTAGCTTTAACTTGATAGATCAATTCGACGGATACATCGAAAAAAACTTTTCCCGGTTTTTACATAACAATAATTACATTACATATATGTTTTACTAGAATCCGTAATTTTGATTGGATGACAGCAATCGCGAGGCACTCCAATATAAATCTTAATGACATTGTAATTATAAGAATTGAATGCCTCTTTTCGTAATTCTATAGGATTGTAAAAACATTTATCGTGCACTCATTTTCAATATCGCCCATACACACAATGTGAGTCGGTCAATTACATCCCAATAAAATTATAAAAAGAAGCATTCAATTCTTAATTACTTTACAAATGTTTGACTGCTATAATATTAAACATAAGTGGTTTCTATTGTTTTTGCCTGCAAGTCGATAAACAAAAATTACAATTAATGTGTATTGTATATTGCATAGACCATCATATCTGTCATTTGATTAAGATTTTGTGTCAGTTCGTCATTTTACGAAATTATTTAGCTTTACTGTATGAAGAACCAATAAAAAAGGTAATTTACTAGTATACAAAAATAGCAATAGATTCAATTCTACATTTATTTGTTGTTGATTCTAGAAAATTTGAACAACATGGTTTTTACATTTCTTCTGAATTAAACATCAAATCATACCTTCTCGTTGAAAGAATTACTTCTTACAACTCTTTTTTTATTTCTTGATGAGTTTAACACGTATGAAAAATATTCAAACATTATGATGATACTTTCAGTTGATATTTTGTCTTTTTCGGCCACTCATTTTAAACAAATAGGTGTAGAATTTCAAATAAGGTTTCATTGTAGGGAGGAAATAACGGTTTGTTTAAGTGATTGCTTTTTTTTATAAATATTTTCATAATATTTTATGTAATCAATGCATTAACAGAGTCAAAGATTCTGAACAGAAATTGAAAGCTACAGAATCAAGAAAAGATGCTTTGGAAAAGTATGTTACTTTAGATAGGTGGATTAAACATTGCTCCATAGCTGTGTTTAACGCCAAATCAGATAGAGTTTGAGTTATTATTTTGCATCACCATAAATCAACATACACCTCCGAAAAACAGAGATCAATTTTTTTTTCAGGAGAATGAAAGGTATTTAAAAAAAAGCCATTGTCTTGAAAAAATTATATTTTACGATCATACAAATTTCTTCAAAGATCGCGAGCTAATCAGTTGATTTGATATTTTTTATTTCATTTATTTATTGTTTATTTGAGGTTTTCAAGGTGCCTACAGGTTTGAAATTATGAAAATAAAAACTCCAAATTATGATATCAGTCATCTAATATACAGATAGTAGTCAAAAGAAGCTCATGATAGTATAATTAAAGCCACCATGAGTTGTTTTCATGATTGTATCAAAAGTCAATTCAAACCAATTGAAAAAAAAATAATGCACTGCTTAGATGAAAGTCGTGTAGCCATTTTGATATTATTTAGATTTAATGATGAGTTTTTACTGGCTGTTTTTTAAGACTGAAAATTTATCTGCATATAAGAAACCTACAGACAGAAAATAAATACGCATTGTCAAAGTAATAAAACATATTCAAATGTTATTGACATAATATGACCAAAACAAATCAACATAAAAACACATAATATATTTTTCATGGAATCTAAATAATTGATATATAAAAGTTAATAGCATTTACGATACCAATATAACTGACCAAGACTCGTATTTCGACAGTTAATGGATCTTCAGCTGTGATCCAGACCAAAATATTTGAATAATAAAAGTAAAGCAAAACCGGGACAAGTAATCAGAACTGGTAAACTTAAAAAAATCGATAAGATGTTTTCAGCATTGTATGACTGTTTTATCTCAATAATTAATCATTTACAGATATTAATGCAATTTAGTTACATAATGTCTTACAATCTTGTTTCAAAATGGCAACTCTCACATACTTATTTAAAATTCTCCGTTCATAAATTATTAAGAAACTAAAGTTACAAAATTAAGTTCCTCAGACAAAGTTGATTGCGAATTCGTTTATGCTCTTTTTGATCATATAGCTTCTAATGTTTCGGCGTATTAACGCATTCTTTGCTTTTAAATGTTCAGGTTTGAGCGTGTCTGATGAGGGTACTATTTGAAAAGCGCTTTGGACACACGAAATTCATAAAGTGTTTATTTTATTTGTGAACATAAAAAAAACCTTTTGAAACAAGAATGACAACGAACAAGGTATAATTTTTAATGTAATACTTTTAAAAATTTATCACTTAAGAAACTCTAAATGGAAACGTGTTGCATTTTTTTATCACCGAGTACAAAATTTTAACCACTTTCAATTACTGATACACCTTTTTTTCCAACTGAATACTATGTGTTTTTTAAATTGAAAAATGTCTAAAATTAACTGTAAAGTTTAACTTTTGAATTAGAAGGCAGTTCGTATAAAAGTATAAAAAAAATTACAACTATATTAGGCGTAAAAAATATGGTCCACGAAATTAATTAAACACTATGAAAAAACGCAAAAACGACATCGAGGCATTTCATAGTGATTTTGATAATATGCAGAGATAGTCCTTGTTATGAAGGGAACGAGTATTGTTTGTTTGAAATTTAATTTTATAAAAATTCAAATTCAGTTTAAACCAAGAATATAAATCTCCCTTATGCAAAGCTCTCTTATCTCATCTGGATTAAGCTATACTTTATGTCCTTTTTGGTTTGACCAGATAGCGCTTCACCGTTTGAATAAGTTTTGGTATTTCAAATATTTTGACATCGAGCATCACTGAAGAGACATTTATTGTGGAGATGCGCATCTGCTGCAGTAAAAGTGGTGCCTTTATTTTTATGCTCACACTATTTGTGTCAATACAAAGGAACTATGATACACTGTCATACAAGTAGGAGTCCTAGCTAGCTGTGAAACCACGTTAAACGTCTTCGGAAAATGCCTATACCAAGTCAGGAATATGATAGTTGTTTTCAAGTCGTTCCGTTGGTTGATATAGTCGAGCGTTTTTGGTTTTGTCAGTTATTATGGAATTTCCGTGTTTTTTAAAATGTGAATTCGGTATATTTATTATAACAGTATTCTATATACACTGAAAAAAAACTTATTTATTACTTGCATATATGGAATAAAAACACAAACGAGTTTACAATATATCACCCACATGTAACCAAACAGCACGATGATCTGTATTTGGCGAATTTTGTCAACTGCAAAACTGTACGTCATCTTCGTACCGAACTTCACGGAAATTGTATAGTAGAATGTTGTGTACTGGACGCATGAACATGGTTTGGTGAATATTTCGCTTCTAAAACTGCTAAAGTGACCCTTTCCATTGTCATAGAAATCGCATTATTGTCATCTACATGAACTACTAGCTGCAAATTGTATATTTCAAATTATTTGAAATATACGGAAGTGTTGACTTTTTTGTTTCTGTACCATGCCAATGTTGTGGTAGAAATTTATGTGGCCAGTAACAACACACATCTACTAGATACAGGAAAGATCTTATTTGAAACAAAATTTTACATTTTTAAGAAGTTGACTGATTTTTGGCAGTCAATAATTTTTAAAATAATACATACTTTGCTGCATAGTTACATCAACAATAGCAAAAATTAATCCTCCTTTATGAAGTGAGCAATAATGTCAAACAAATGTCTGATAACATCACCCGGAAAATAAATGAAACACGGATAAAGGGCTCTAGTGAGACCAGCATTAGCCTGTAATTGTGATGCATTTTTCGTTTGAAAGTTAAATAATTTCATTTAAAATTGAGAATGGAAATGGGGAATGTGTCAAAGAGACAACAACCCGACCATAGAGCAGACAACAGCCGAAGGCCACCAATGGGTCTTCAATGCAGCGAGAAACTCCCGCACTCGGAGGCGTCCTTCAGCTGGCCCCTAAACAAATATGTATACTAGTTCAGTGATAATGGACGTCATACTAAACTCCAAATTATACACAAGAAACTAAAATTAAAAATGATGCAAGACTAACAAAGGCCAGAGGCTCCTGACTTGGGACAGGCGCAAAAATGCGGCGGGGTTAAACATGTTTTTTTTTTTATCTCAACCCTCCCCCTATACCTCTAGCCAATGTAGAAAAAACAAACGCACAACAGTACGCACAGTAAATCTCAGTTTAAGAGAAGTCCGAGTCCGATGTCAGAATAGGAAACAAAAGAAAATAATACATAAATAACAACAGACTACTAGTAGTTACTGACATGCCAGATCCAGACCTCAATTAAAATGATTGAAACATTATGTCTTCATCATATGAATATCAGGCACAATCCCTCCTGTTAGGGGTTTAGTAATATACCATCATAAAATATATGAGAAGAACATAACCCGTGTCATGCCAACAACTGGTTTTAGAATAAATATGTTTAATTCCGATGCAAAGACCGATATTTGCATACTAAAAGTCAAATTTTGATTATAACTGATTGTATCAGCTTTAACTGTTCAAAGGCAAACAAAAACAAAATACAAAAAAAAAAAACCTAAAAAACAAAAAAACAAAAACAAACAAAGACCAATTAATTAACAAACTCATAAAGCGAGATATATAGTGTATATACAAATATGCTCTTATTCTGAAAAATACTTTTACGGTAACGTCTTCTGTTATGAATGCATGCATGATTTATCATTCCTTCAAAAAAAAATATATGTCTTTCAATAGTAATATAAAATATACAGGAAGAATTCATACCGGTTATTTAGAATCACAATAAAGATAATATATCAAAGGATATTTCATTTTTATGTGTCTAAAAAAAATCAATACTTGACAAACAAGTTAGTGTAATGTGATGAATACACTGTTTCAACTAAATAAAGATGAAGAGAAAGGCAAGATATAATGTATTATTTTATGTCAATTCTCTTCTACGTCATGAACCTTGCATGCGATATAAAAATATCTACAAAAAATGCATAAATAATCCACCACAAATATATACAACCGAGAAGTATAATGTAAATACTATACAAATATTGGAATGTCTTTGATGTCGGCCAACAGAAATTGAGCACAGAACTTAGACACCCCTTCCCCTTTTGAAAAAGAAAATGCCAAACCAAAACATGATCTCCAAGCTATCGTTTCGTAAAAACAATCTACCAGTACTATAGTGCATAAATGTATTAAAAGTGTATGCACTTACCTATGAAATAGTAATTTTAAAATGATATACAGTGTTTGCAAGTCTTGTTTTGAAAGTAATAATATTTCAGATTTTCTGAAAGTGAAAAAAGTGTACGTTTGCTGGCTCCAGAAAGGTGTGATGCTATGACAAGGTTTGTGTAACACGTGACCCAGAAGTTTCCTGTCAAATTAAATTTACGACACAGAATAAGAAGAAATTAGAAGTACATCTCTTTAAAGTTAAATTTGACGATAAAAACGGAGTAAAAAGAATAATTTTGGCAATAATAAACTATTTTCAAAATTTCCAGAATATGATATAGTATAACACATAAAGACGTCTGCGAGGATCGCATCTATCCAATTGATCTTGAAATAATGATACAACAGACACTGTTGGGTCTACTTTATATCTTGACACGCTTCTAGACAATAACAATCAGTGTAAACTATACTTTCAGAGATGATATAAATTAGATAAAAGACTTGTATAAGATATCCCAAAATTGTTTGGCAAGTGACAAACCTTTAACAAATTATACGTCGATGATTGCTTTTTATGTTTTTGACTTGTGAACTTTCCAATTCTGTGAAGTAAGATTTAAGCAACCCCTGTTTATGGAGTATTTATAGTCGATTTGATACGACACCTGTGGACAAGCATTTCTTATTATGACTTCCATGATTGATGGCTGCATTTTACAAGGAAGCTATAGAAATAAGTACAGTAAAAGTGACTCCTCTGACAGTTTTACAGACACCATCATAATTTTGTTTTCCGTTACGGA